TCTTCAGGAGCAGTGACAAAAGTTCTTCGCTATCTTACAATTTTACAAAGTTCAATCTGAAATTTTTCGAACCGTTATGAGTTAGTAAGACCACGAAGTCAGAAACCAAATGCTATATCTGCTCTATCAAAATCGTTTAATTTTTCAGGGACACTATTAAATTCAAATTTCTCAAAACTAGGTACTGAACTGATAACTAGGTACTGAACTGATAACTAGGTACTGGACTGATAACTAGGTACTGAACTGATAACTAGGTACTGAACTGATAACTAGGTACTGGACTGATAACTAGGTACTGAACTGATAACTAGGTACTGAAGTGATAGAACTTTGCAACTCTAGGCTAGCGAATAGTCAGCCGAGTTCTACACGATCTCCCTTCCATTTTCAGACACTGGCGATAAAAAGAAGAGAAGTAGGACTTCGTTTGACAAACCTATCCGACCTCCTCCATCTATTTCGTGTCCTCCCTACATTTGCTAAACAAAAGTAAATGAATTCTTGAAGTTGGTCTCACTAACAAGGCAATCCCCAATGTCCGGATAGGAAGCGGGAACAGCTTGACTTTACCTTTTTGCCAGGAGAGCAGAACTGGTCGACATAGTCCTGACTGAAGTTGCCAGTTGTCGAATGGCTAGTCACTAAGGCGCTATGATGGGGAACAGCCACTGTGTGAAAGATTGAGACCTTCACAGCTACAACTAACAGAACCACGGCCAGAGTTGAAAGGGAGGGGAAAGGCATCATTAGCTCCTTTGGTATCAGGTGGGGTGTCTTTCTTTGCTGATGACAGTGGTTTGAATCCAAACCACGACATTCTAGTTCTAGAACTTAGGTCAAGCACTTTTTCGTGGCTTTCCATCCATATATGTGAGGCAGCGTGGTGGAATCAGGCTCTCGTCAAAATAATCAAAGTGAAGAAACTTGTATTTTTCTGCAGGTTTGTGAATTTTTATCAAATTTTTGTTTTTTGGCTCAACACCTTTCATGCCCATTAAAGAACTAATTTCTGGTTCTTAAAAACGTTGATTAAAGGCACAAAAATTGTAAATTTTCAGTTACCACGGACTCTTAAGCTAAGGA